TAACTTATATTTTGCAGAAGTAATATTTACAAATACAGCAATATTGACCGGGAATAACACAAATTACCTATCAAATTAACTATTTGGTCAAAACACATCAAATAAGTGTAACTCAACGGGTCAAAATGCAACCCAAATAAAAATACACAAATCAAATTTGAATAATTTCACATTTGTTTTCAATAAGGAAAACAATGGTGGGGAGAAAGTTGGATCATATCGAGCGAATTGAGTTATGACGCCTGCACACAACGTAACTTTATTAGTTGTACTCCATTTATATATTTTGCCTTATTACTAAAGCTGAAAATTCTCCTCCGGTTCTTGGTTTTTGTCATGAGATAACAGCCGCTAATTAATTCGATTATTGAGAACTAGAGTTATGTTTAGATTCTTGACGAAATTCTCGAAATTTGAGAAAATTTTCAAATCCGAAAGAAAAAATATATATGCTATTTATAATCAACTATAATATATACGCATATCAGTAGAAATAACATGTAAGTACAAAACCTATCTTATTTTTAAGTAAAAAGTTCAGTGTAGAAAAAAAGAGAGTTTAAGCTCTAGCTATATATATACAATGTAAAAACTATTTACGTAATCATATTTTACTCTCAGTTCAAACACTTCACTACCGGAGCATATAGGAGCAATTAGTTTCCTTAGCTCTAGTATTTGTATGTCATTCTAGTTTGTTTTTTCAAACAAGTTGAAACCCAACTATTTTGGGTTAAGTGTAGACTGTAGTCCTACTTCTAGGCAAACTTTGGAAAGTTGGGTAATTTCTAGGTGGAGTTGAAAGATTCACTACAATTAAATAAGCCCATTTATTCTGTGAGATTATGTACTGTCCAAAAAATTTCTTTGGCACCTTCATTTTCAAATTTTCCACATTTTTAATTATCTTTGTTTCTGATGAAACTGTATTTGTAAAAGAAAAATAAACATATTATATGGACTTTGTTGATCAAGAAATAGGCAGCCAACACCTTGATACTTGGACGATACTAATACAATATTTTAATCAGTTTCATCTATTAATGCCTAGAAATAATTGATGTCATACCTGTCATTTACCCCTCGTTGTTTGCACTTGGAATAATTCAGCCGTACGGAATCAATTGTTCAAATTAAGATTATGTGGGCATTTTATTTTCTTAATTTATGAAGAAACCGACGAATTTGTAAAGAAAGTATTTAAGATTACGTGGTTTTTGCTCAAGAGTACTTAGGGTGCTAACAACTTGCTGTTTAGGATTATTCTAATAATAATTGAATCGATGGGTTGTTCTTGCAAAACGGAAGTACAGAGGAAATTAGATGTTTACGATGTGACAAAAATCTAAATAAATTAAGTTTGTGAATAACTTCGAATGAACATGCAGCTCTTACTATCAGTAAATAAATATTAATAATTCACTCCTCGAAAGAATATATAAGATGCCACGTACAATAACTTACCAGTCAATTACGGAGTAGCATTATTTAACTTATTGTGTTTTTTCGAATATAGATAAATGAGGTTAATACTTGATGAAAGTACCCACTTGTTTGCACTAGGAATATTAAAGGAGAATTTCAGCTGTACGGAATCAACATTAATTTAGTAACCACAGTAATATACGATAAAACCAATGACAAGAAGTATTGTCCTTGTTTTGATATAAAAACAATATTGTTGGTGCGAGACGCAGAAATTTGGATTTTTGAGGTTGTAAAATTTTGAGATCGCAATCGAAAGAATAATAAAATATACACATTGCATTATTAACTCTTATTAATCTGTTTGCTTTGCTTTATGTAAATGATTCCGCAGATAATCCATTTAGTCTCATTATGTGGTCTTTACAAATTAAATTTGAATGGCCTTTATTTTTATAAAATGAACTTTTGTTATACAATACACTATTTTCCTGTTAGTGGACTGCAAAATGAACTATCGTTTTTAAGTTTACATTTTTTTTAAAAGTTCTTTCTCTTGTTATAATTGGAGCTATGAACTAGGAGTGTACAAATCGAACCGAAAAATCGCACCAAACCGAAAAGTCAAACCAAACCGATTAAAAAACTCGACTTGATTTGGTTTTGTATTGAGTAAAAAACTCGAACCAACCCGACATATAAATATATAATTTTTATATATACATTTAAGATTTTATATAGAATTTTCTTTGAAAAATGTGTAGAAATATTTGGGATTCTCTTACGGGATATAAATTTTAATAGAATATGAAGTGTTCCATATTTATTGACCTTAAATAATGGGTTGTATGATCACTTTCTTATCAAGTGTTACTGAAATACGTCTATCTCTTTGTTCTTCTATATTCATATCATATGTTAAGATCTATTAAATTCTTATATATTTTTCGAATGAGAAGTGATTATTAATATTTAGGTATCATATTGATTTTTATGTTTAATTATTAATTCGGTTAACATGAAAGTGTATATCAACGAAAAATTATTGTCAGATGACTAAAAAAATAACTATTATGTGTTACTAATAGAATAATCACATAAGAATATTTTAATCGATAATATGTTTGTCAATTTTTTTATATTTTTACTAAATATATATTTACTTATCAAATATCTAACAAAATAAGATCGAAATAATATGTAAGTAATAAAAACCCGAAAATCCGACAAAAACAAACCAATCCAAACCGATATAGTTGGTTTGATTTGATTTTGATAAAATCGAACTAACATCGTCCATGTACACCCCTACTCTGAACTATAATGAAAATATACTAATTATATTTATTATATACGGTTATATGCACCTATTTTTTGTTTAAACGATTGAGTGAATGACTATTTAGGTTAATTCTTTAATATTTGTTTAAATTATGTAACCAATTCATGTAAATGTTTAATTAATAGAGAAATGCATTTTTATTAATTTAATCATGTTTACGAGTAGGAGCCTTAGAATGTCAATTCATCTACTTTGTTTGCTAGTAATAAATACCACCAATACGAACCCCTGTCATTTAATACTATAAGTCAGTAATGTAGGAACTAGGGCAAGTCAGTACATTTTAGAAACTAGGACGGTTTTACCTTGTCAATTGTACACTCAATATAAAAAAGATTATAGCCTAAAATAAAATACATAAATTGGGAAGTTTTGACAGTTTATTGCATATCTACAATTTTATAGATTGACGTTCAATGGGATTTGATAGTATCAAAACTTATCAAAAAAATGGTAGATGCAGTATTCATTTTTTAAATTTGCCAAAGGAGTGTCAATGACATGGTGTAGATAGGTAAACTTTATATANGCTGTGACCATCCATTTGTATTGCCATTGCTTTGACTAGAAATTTGGAGAACATAACATGGACACTGTAATGGCTAGTAGATCACAAATCAGACCATTTTAGTTGGGTTTTTTTTAGTTTTAGCCCGCGCTAAAAATTATTTATATTTCGTAGCCTAAAAAATATATAAAATTTGTATAATTTTGTATATAATATATATATATATATATATATACAAAAAATATAAATTTTTTTGGCTATTATTTTGAAAGCGATCATTTGCTCAATTCGATTTTTCCTAAACAAATAGTATTGAAGATGCAGTAACAATGCAAATAGACTGAAATACATTCACTTCTCTCACAGGGCGCAAAAAAGCACCACTGCAAGGAAAAAATTCCAAGATTTGTTTACAAATCTGATTCTGACCCATAAAAAACACTACTAATAATATCATGTGGTTCCTAGGTCAGGGTTAGAGGAAAGTAGCAAAACAAGAAAATACCAAATAGAGCGAAGAAAGACGTTAGAAAAAAAAAGAGAAGCAAAAAACACCAAATTGCTTCATCTTGAGCCATCCTTCTTAACACCAAAAAAAGAACTAACCCCTAATATTCACTCTTTTTTACTTTTCTTTTGTAAATACTTCAGCAGCGGATCATAGAAGTCAGTGATTGGAAAACCAATTCTTCACAGGGAATGGTAATACCCATGTCGTGATCAAATCCAAATTCTTCCTCCGCCTGTTGGAGGAGGCATTGAAACTGAGGGTGAGTTAAGAAAGAAATTGGTACGACATATCGAGTTCGATTCTCTCCTACGTAAACTGCAAAATGTCCTTTTGGTACGTCAATAGGAAGACAGTAATCTTCGTTGTCATAGCCTTGCTTCTTACCCAAACTAGAACACCTCTTCAAAATTTGCTTCAACACTGTAGCTTGTGATAACTTGTTTGGTTTTCTGATGGCCATTTTTGTAATTTTATTTTTTGATGAAATATAAAGAAAGTTGAGAGCTTTAGCAAGAAAGAAAGATGAAAGAAAGAGACGGTAGTAAAGAAGTGGTGGTGTTTGGGCTATTAGGATGTGAAGCTATTTATGGAGGAAATACCAGAAGTTTTTTACATTTTATTTTAAAATTCTAATCCTTTTTACTAGTGGGTGTGATAGCAAACTGCAAAGGACAGAACACGGGTATTTTCGACAAGGTGTATGAGAGGAAAAAGGACAAGGTGGGGGCCAAAGCCCATAGGTTTTACGGCTCTATGTTGGTTCTCATTATGGCAAAGAGGACCCTTCTCTTTATGGTGAAGTTCTAAAATAGCCATTTTCATAAATTTTAATCGAAAATAGTTATGGATTCAAAAGTTATTAAAAAATGGTTGATGTTAAAAATTTATATCAGTGTTATGGATTTCGAATTAAAAAGTCAAATTTCATAACAATGTGCTAGATTTCGATAGTTTCCTAGACGAAATCCAGGACGCTATCATGGATTTTAAAAATCATGAAAGTGTCCTCGATTTTTTATTTGTTTAAATAAGTTTGAAATTTATGACACTATCGGTGAGTTTGGTACAACTGAAAATATTTTCCGGAAAATGTTTTTCATTTTTTCGTTGTTTGGTTGCACAAAATAGTTTCGAAAATATTTCGAAATTGGAGGAAATGACTTTCCAAAAAAAAGCGAGGAAAATATTTTTCAAAAATATTACTTACCCTCACATCTAACTCCACCCCTTTCCCCCCTTCTCTTACCTATCCCACCTCTCCCCCATCTCTCCAAAGAAGCTTTTTTTTCAAATTTCATTTTTTTTTTTCCGTCTCCACCCACCCTACAACCCCCTCCTTCTCAATTTTTTTTTTTTTTTTTTTTT